GACAGACAGACAGACAGACAGACAGACAGACAGACAGACAGACAGACAGATAGATAGATAGATAGATAGATAGATAGATAGATAGATGCTAGAGTATCCATCCGCAGTCTATTTACACAGCTGCCTACAAATGAAGCTCTAGCGTAAGTCAGGAAGACTATACTGTATGCTTAGTCTTGTAGTTTATTTCCCATTCACTTCTCTCGCATGCTCACTCATAATTTCCTTGCAGTCATTGTTCCGGGCTGTCAATCATGATATCAGCTGTGTAGATCAGCTGGTCTCTTCTATCCATTAGCACAGCACTTAGCAAAGGGTCAATTGGTCATTTTGGCTGTAACTGTTGCCCCGTGAGGCTTGGAAACTAGGTCCACACGACAGTGTGATGGCAGAGAGCGTTCATATTATTACTTCAACATTCATATGATCAGACATCCACCTTCCAACACCAATAACTCAACACAACTGAAGAGGCAGGGTAAAGTCAGCATCATGGTACATTTAAAGCCAAGGGTAGAGAACTTCACTTAGCAGTGGAAGGGGATGTAACGTTTGCTTGCCAGCCGGCTGAACGGCAGGTAGGTTTGCCACAAGACAAATTCCAGAAAGTGTACATAATCCATCAGTGTTGTGTAAGTAAATCTGTGCATGATAACATCTGACAGCTAACTAATTGTCCTGAGGTGCTAAACCTGACACATATGTTCGTTTTCTTTAGGACAAATGATAGTGGATAAGTGTTAAACAAGGGACAGCGATGGTCAACTTAAATCTGATGCATTCTATAGGTCAAACCAGACGAGTCTATGCTATTGGCTCTGTACTTAAACACTGCAGTGCTTTGAGCTAAATACTACTATGAGAAATGATGTTGATGTTTAGTTAGCATGGTAAACATCTTAAGGTCTTTTCTTAAGAGTACCTTGCAACATGTTTGGTCCCACAAGGTGAAAATGCCAATATAAGAGATCATATTATGTATTATCATATTAAGATGTCCAGAATGCAATATACAATAGCTGTATATTGTACAATAGCAATTATATTGCACCTATTATGCAATCCTTGCGTTTTGTGTTGTGTTATTGTGCAGTTTTAAAATAAACTCCTATGTAGGTGTGTCAATCATAAAAGAAAAGCAGAAAGCGAATCAAATTGTGAAGGACAGGCATGATGTAGATAATATTATGTGTAAGCAGTCACCTCTGCTGTGTAGAGGGGGGGCACAGAGACAGCAAAAAGTACAAACAGTGGTAACCTGAACCGGTGGGAGAGGCAGTGTTATGACTACATGACTACATGACGACAGGGTTATAGCTAAAGGACAAAGTAAGACCTAAGTCAATGTGCTCGTCTGTCACACCAGTTGAGATTAATACCACCCGAGGCATTTTTAAATGTATCCAACGTTGGATTCTATATATTTAACCAAAAGCAAACACATTTGATAAGAGACAATGCTTCCACCTGTGGGCAGAAACACATCACCCATAAAGATAAAGATCAAATCAGACATCATACGTAATAATTGATTCGTGAATGTTTGTCTGGTGCAGGCAGTTCAGAGCTTAACAGGGGCAGCACATGACACGAGGAGTTTTGTTTTGAAACAAAGGTTTGAACTGAGCCCATGTTGGTTTTTAAAAAGTGGACTTTTCAGAATGAAACGGATCACTTTTCTCAACATAAGGGAGTCATAGTGCTCCACAGAAGTACTGCAACAGGTGTCGCTTTTTCAGGTGGAAAGTTGTAAAGAAGAAAAACTTGCGCTCCCTCAGTCAGGTGCTCACTCGCACTTCATCCAATCTCACAGTTTCAACACAAGACGACGAAACACACAAGCGTTTCCTTTCTAACCTTTGGAAAGGGCCTGTTTTAAAATGATGGAGAGTGCTGCATCACCACAGTATCTTGCTGTCAAAACATTTTACTGAATTGTCAGCTGAAATTAAATCAATGTGACTGAACTGGTACAGTTTCTAAATCCACAAGGAAACCCCAAATTGACTTCACTGGTTTTCTTATGTTTCAAACACCACTGTTGAGCAACAGTTGAGCTGACACTGCTCCTCGTAAAATATGGAGTGAGTTGTTGCAGATTTCTCTTGTTGAGGAAAGCCAAAAATAACCAGGTCCATGTAGAATAGAGATTGCAAAAGAACAGAAATATGAGCATTGCACTAACTCTTAGGGGTCTCGCATCATAAGTACAACAGCAGGAACAGGGTCGAAATGTTTTCTTCACACAAGGTGCTCTTATTTTTTTGGAGGAAACATTTCAGATTTTTAAATAACTCAACTTGAACCATGTCTGCTGACTTTGTGTCATGACACAAATGATTTAAAAACACTGGCTCAACTGTGTATATCCATATTCCACGAGAAAACAATATGTAAATTGAAAGAATAGTTCCATATTTTGGGAAATACCCTTATTTTGCTTTCTTGCCAAGAGACAGATTAGAAGATCGCTATTACTCTCTTGTCCGTACGGTAAAGATGAAGCTAGCAAGTCGGTTAGCTTAGCATAAACCCTAGAAGCGGGGAAACCTTTAGCCTGGCTCTGGTGAAGGAGTTGTGCTTTTACCGGGGGTTATGTGCAGGACTATTTCTTGGTTGGGAGCAGCGACTTCCTCAAGATTTTACGCCACCATGAAATTGCCAGTTAACAGCGTGAGAATCCAGGAAGTCGCTGCTCTTAGCCAAGTAATAGTCCTGCACATAGCCCCCACAAAACAAATAAAGTTTTACTTTGGATTTCGTACAAATTAAACAAATGTTTCCACAGATGCTGATTTAGTTTGGTTGTTGAAGCTCGCAGCAGTGTTTGGTCTCAAGCAGAAGAATGTCCATACTGTAGAATCCAGTCAGGCTAAGATCATGTACAACTTCAAAATGTAACACTTATGTATACTGTAACATTAATTTATGATGGTCCACAGCTGTAAATGCATCAGTGAGTCCATGTGTAACAGTGAGGAACAGTAACATCCTTCCTTCTGGTTGGATAAACATCATTGCTGGTTAATTAAACATTTTATTTCTCTAAAAGTACTGCATAAAAAGTGTTTTGATTGTTTTTGGAATACTGGAGGAGACCACCAATTACAGATACAAAGTTATAGTACTGGCAGTGGATGTTTGTGTCTACAACAAAAACGACTCAGTGTATGTATGACTGTGTGTGTGTGTGTGTGTGTGTGTGTGTGAATTTGTATGCATGGCATGTGTTATCAATAGTCCTGTACTGTGTGTGTCCTCATTAGTAAACAGTGTTGCTGTTGCTCTCACAGATAGGTGGTAGCCTCTCTGTTCTCCCTCTCTCTGGCCTGAGCCACGGCCACGTTGATGCACTGCAGCCACTCCTCAGCATGTTTCTCATCCTGAGCTTTCAGCACATACGTCTTACTGTCTGTGAAGATCTCAAAGGCCCGTGGCAGGCCCCGATCACGTCGCTTCTTGGCTACCACCTGTGATGAAAAAAAAAGAAGCAGATGACACACTCGCACTGAAACATCTCTGAAATGTCGCTCTCCTTTTTTAGATTGATGTGATTTGGCTTCATGTAGCCAAAGGATTTAGTTTGGGATCCACCCACACGGTACACTATACCATAATCAGATGACAGCAAAAGCTTTGAAATGACAATAATGTAACGTCACTTAAAAATCTAAAGTAAAAACAACAACTATGAGAAGAGGTAAACTGCTAATAATGGGAAAAAAAAAGATGTGATCGGTAGGGAAGATCAAAAAGGTTTTGGGAGCAGGTTTTTGAGGGATGATCACAATATAACTCCTCACCTTGACACTTTGCACCTTGCTCAGCTCAATAGGGATGTCATCCAGCTCATCTTTCTGTGGGGTGGACAAAACATCACAGTAGTTAAAAAGTCTTCATTTTCCAACAGCTTTTGTACGATTAAAAGGTTGTCATTTCAGCAAAACACAGCTGGAGTCAGCCACCTCACTAGTGGTAAAACTATAAACCAGTAAAATAAATTACAATTACCAAAATACGGCACCATGGTCTGAACGGACACATAACAAACACGAACAAGAAGTAACATTTGCATTTTGGAACATAAAACAGCATACGTAACAGACTACTCAGTCAGCGCTCTGCACCTGCAGGCACGATGCCAAATGTGGGCCGTCGCTATCGTTAAAATACTCTCAGCACTGGCAGACGGCCCTCAGTGAAGCGAGAGGTGGCTCATTTTCTCTTGTTTCTCTCTTCTTCAACATCAGAAAAAAAAAAAATCCAATATTGGTCTGGCTCTAGCACAAAACCAGAGCTAGCTGTCAGGCTCATGGCAACTGCCAACATCCTTTGTGTGGTGTGTGTGTGTGTGTGTATGTGTGTGTGTGTGAGACACTGTTTTACCTCCCGGCTGGCTGTGCTGAGGGTCTGATGTTTCCCACAGCAGATTCATGTCAGTGGATTCGTGCGGTTATTTAATTGGACAATTGATGGATTTTTGCCATATGGCTTATGACAGCTGGAATCCAAACCGGAAAGTCCATTAACACATTGTCTTATAATGCTTTAAGTAATCGCACCTCACTAACGTGTTTTTGCAAGTATTTTGTACCTTATGTGTAACTTCTTTCATATTTCTTGACAGCTTGCATTTAATGAGACGATGGTGCTAGAATTAAGCCAAAGACTTAAATATCCTTTGGCTACTCATGGTGTCCAGAGATTTTCTCTCAAATCACCTTGTACCTGCATTTTAGAGATTGTCAGAGCAAGTGAACACACCACAATTAATCGGTGAGCATTTAATAAGTCTGCTGTACCAGAGTGAGATACAAGACTTACTCTCAAACCTCTTACATCAAATGTGGATGAAAACAACCTGTTTTTTTGTTCTTAATCTCACTCCGTATTTGGGAAAGGGTCTTTCACAACATAGGCCTACCAAAATACCTCCAGAACAAAGATGGACTGAGCTCTGAGAACAAAGACTCAAAACCTTTCCAAATTGTGGCTGCTGCAAAAAGAGAGGAGTGCAATACCATCTGGAAAGGAGCACAACAACTATTGTTAGGAGTTAAAAAAAAGAGAGCTCAAATCTACTTCTGCATTTCAACCAGCAGAGAATATCCCGCTGTTTCCAGATAATCCTCGTTGATGTCGTGCCTCCCTTTTACGTTTTGGGAGCTGATTATATAAACATGTCTAAAGATCCAGTTGACACCCAATCTCCTGTCGGCTGTGAACATTATTTAAATTATAATAAATTGTTTCACTCCTGTAGATGATTGCCAAAGACACGGATATAAGCACGAATACACGGAGGTGTAGTATTTCCCAATAAATCTGATTTTCTCATGGACTGATTTGACTGAAAATATTTTTCTTCCGTCAGTGGGATAAAATCAAACTTGACCTTTTTTTTTTTTTTAGCAAACTTTGACCTGAACGAGTTTTTGATCGTGCTGCTTTCGCTTTAAGTTTTGATTAAACAAACCTTTCCTTTCCACAAAACTTCTCCGATCAGTAACCTTAGCCTTTGTTTGACGTTACAGTAAGTCACAAGCAAACACATTGCTCATTGCTTCAATGAAAACAGTCTTTTCTTTCACTCACACCCTAACCCACGAGGCAGTACCTCCTGCTCGGTGTTTGCTACTTGTGCGTAATTATATCTGCTTTGAGTTATAGTGGGTGAGAGTGACTCAGGTTGTTGCAGCATCATGCTTTGGCCTTGGGAGTCCCCCAAGAGTCCTTACCGGGGCCATTGTTTGTTACGGTTGGATTCACCAGATGCTCCTGAGGGATAATGAGCTTATCACGAGATGTGATTTCCACTGTTTCACGCAGAGTTTCACCATGATTCAAATGACATGGAACTAGGAAACATTAATACAGATTTTCTGAATGAGAGGCCAGAGACAGTTGTCTCTGTGTGAGGAGGCTTAATTTCCATTGATTACGTACTGATTTGCCTCTACGGAAGAGGAGCTGGTTTCCTGCCAGGGTGAAGTAACGGGTTTTCCAGCGCTTGATGAACTTCCAGCGGACCTGCTTCTCCTTTAGCTTCCCCTCGATCAGAGGCTGTCCCTCCTGGTTCACAACTAGAGGGCCACACAAACAGAGACAGAGACAGAGAGGGAGAAAGACGCAAAGGAAGAATTATAAAGAAAAAGATGAACAAAATAAAATATAGTGTTTTGTTAAAATGTTGTTGCCCATTTACTTGACTTTATAGCTGACCGTCAATAGATTGATCTGAAAGGTCTGACAATATGATGCATTCATGAGCTGGTGGAGGGGCCTGACATCTGAGACTTGACTCAGCCATTGAACAGTACTGTGGTTATGAGCTATGTTACTAGAAAATCTAGCCTGAAAGGTGAAATAAAAAATGTGGAATGTTTGCAACCAACCAGCAAGCAGCAAGTTTCTAGATTCTGCAAATTGATTTTTATAGCGTAGGGCAGGCCAGGCCAGATGCAGCTCACGGCACAATTTCATAACCCCCTACATGGTTAGAATTTATTATAACATCTGGCTCACAAATGTCTATTTTTCCATTTCTTCCTATTTGGATTTTCCCCAGTCTAAGTTTAAGTCGACAGTAATCATTTACTTTTTTATTATTATTATTTTTAGGATGCAACCTGGCTCATAGCCCCTGAATAATTCAAGATTGAGACCCATGCCGTAGGGAAATGAATGGAAGCCAACGGCTGCCTGCAAGACATAAAAAAATTAATTCCCATCTGAAAAGATAATGTTATGCTTTGGACATGGGCTGGCAGCAACATTAAATATAACTGGCTAAATATACAATACAAAAGCAGAGGTATGGTACATTTAGGCCAGAAAGACTCTGAAAATGTTGTAACAACCATTGTAAATGTAAGTGAATGCACAAAATGCAGATCTTTATCCAAATAAAGTGAGTGCATTCAAAGCACAGCTCAGCCACCCTGCTGATCTGAGACTCACATCATTAATTCTACTCTGTTCTCAATTTCCTTCACTTTTATTTCATCCTGTTTCTTTAGTTCGTAGTTGTAATGTTTTATAACCCAATGAAGCGCTTTAACATTGTATCTGATGAAATTGTAGGATACAAACAAACTTCCAGTAAACATCAATGAGTTGTTCAGTTCAGCTACTACATTTAAGCAAAAACATTTTGTATTACTTGTGTGTGCATCTGTGTGTCTTTCTGATAAGATAAAGGAGAAGTCCCCCGAAGTGAAGTCTGTACTGGTCTGATTACAAACACTTGTATGTGTGTGTGTGTGTATATAGTATTTTGTTCATGTATATAACTGTTTTGCAACATCCTTTGCAGGGATGTAACAGAAACATTGATTCCTTCATCATCCGTAATCTGTTTTTTGGGGGCGTGGCCATTCGATGAGTTTCGTCTGGGAGTGTAACCAGCATCCAGCAGCTAAAGTGAACTGCCGTCAATGGGTCGCGGCCCTGTTGCTGCACAGAGCGCTGTTCACATTTTCATTCAAAGTGTATTAATATTAAACGTGTTGCATGTCCAAATGTATCCGACTTCGACACTGCATGTTCTTGGGTACCCAGCAATGTGTGAAGTAGATCGGATGAACGGTATGAACGTTGTAGATATGCGAAGGACACACACACACACGTAAAACATTTACATTCCTTCCAAATTGTCAGTCTGCGTGTGTGTGTGTGTGTGTGTGTCCTCTGCCCATTGACTTCCTGCCAGACTGTTGAGACAGACACACTGCTCATATACAGTTGGACACACTCCCATCATTACTGTGTGCTGGCTTCTCTGCATCATCTAACAAATATTCTTTGAGTGCAGAAATAAACTTGTCTGCTGCATGAATCATTGGGCCTCGTGCCGTATCTTTGCTTTGAAGCGGACACCTGGAAAGGGATCCCTGGATTTGTTGTCAGCCTCAGGCAAGTACTGTAATCCACAACACCTCGTCTGGGACACGCTGATGTCAATCAATGAGACATAAAACGCACACACGGAGTCTCAACAAATAATGTATGTTTCTTTTTACAATATCTTTGCTCTAACTTTTATTCATGGTATATCTTTCCGATTCACAATAGCCTCCAAGAAAAAACTCAAAGGCCAACTATTGTCTTTCACTTTTATTGGAAGTATGTTTAGCTTGCTACGCAAAGTCCTGGTCCTGCTTGGACATTCAAAACCTACAGTATGTAGGTACCACTATGCTATGAAACTCTATTTAAGAGTCTCATTGATATCAACATCTCTACTTCAAGAAGCAAACAAAGCATTTACAGTGAGAGAGCCAGAAGAGAACCATAAAGTTTGACAAACAACAGTTAAAAAAGTGTCACAAAGAGTCATAAAAAATTCAGATGATGAAGCTGTAAAACCTCAGACATGAATAAAACCTCTCCGACAGATAGTTCACACACACACACACACACACACACACACACACACACACACACTCACACACTTTCTTTATGCTTCAATAAAAAAGAATGCCCTAAATGCCAATTTTCCCCCTGGTATCAACAATTGTATTGAATATCGATATTTTTCAAAATATTAGTCAAAGTTAGAAATTCCAGTATTGTGACTAGAGCGGATCAGGTGAAAGCTAAGGAAAAACCTTTTATTTCTCTGCAGGGTAATTTCCATAATGTTGTCAGACACGGATAATAACAATCTGAGCCTGTCAGTGGCAAAGACAAGCACTTTTAGTGGACACAATGATGCATTGATGCTGCGCAACTGCCCTCGCAGCTCGTTTCGCAGCTGCCAGTTACATTCTTCCCCCACGACACTGGACCAATTTAAAAAAATTGTATTGCCATTAGTCACTTGGATACAAAATAATGGGAAAATATGAAGAAAAAAACAGAAGTTACCATTAAGTCCATATTAGATTGCCTACTGCAGTTAAGATTTAAATGAGAGAAGAGTGGAAGATTTGACTGTAGAGCTTTATAGGGCAATATGCTGAAAGAGTTATCCCTTCTTGTCAATAACAAGGTATTAGCCAACATGTGTCCTTATGACGACAGCCCTGCCTGAGGATATTAACGGCCCCCTTGACAAATCTTGTCTAAAATCATTTGAGCACACTTCCCTAACTCTCAAAACTCCATCTTTAATAATGACAGTCACTTATAAACTTTGGAACAGCATGATGAACGTCTCCCTTTAGCAAAGGAATCTCCTGAATTTGCAACATAATTCCTGGAGGTTGGGAATTTCTGTCCAGCGTGTCTTCACTGATTGATGGCAAAATGATGGAAAGTCATCCTTGGGGTTTTCCATCTTTTTTTTTTTTGCAAACAGGGGATCAGTCTTCCAGACAAGTGTGAATGTGTGTTCAAACCCACATGTAGAGGCACGAGGGAGTGAGGGTATATATGCACATTTTAAAGTGAGTGCATGTTTGTGATAAAAGGCCTAAAAGTCCACTCAAGACAATTACAATTATCTTCTGTCTTGTTTCTAGTGGTTTCACACAAACCAGTTATCTCTGTGGTAAGTTTGGTGATAAGGCAATAAAAACTCAATGATGCCAGAAACACCGGAAGTGAATTAGAGAGGGAACGTGTTGAACCTGTGTATCTTTTTCTGGCATGTCAACACATACAGTGCATGCGCATACACACACACACAACTCTGCTCTTTACCACTCACTTCAAAGGCATTCCAGTAGTTAAGCTCAACAGTATATCATAGAGTTGCAGTAACAACTGGCCTTCACAACGGAAAAACACTTCACCTTTCTCTATTTATTTTTTTTACCATTAAAAACACGAGACCAGCTCCTTGCTTGTGTGCGTGTGTGTGTGTGTGTGTGTCCTATGTAGTAAGGTGAGCCACTATAAGGCAAAGTCAGCGAGCATTTCAAAGTACAATGTTGGCGGGTGGCAGCTGTTAATGTGAACAGCATGCGTACATGGTCAATATGTGAAGTGTTATGTGCTGCATTTGTGATGAAAATGCAAAAGTGGGTCACCTAAAAGTGACATGGATCCAATTCCAAACTGCACAGGGTCTGAAGTCAGGTTGTTACGTTTGTTTCAGTGAGATGAGTCATTGCCGACATTTACTGTAACTTGACCTCATATGCTGGCTGTGGCTGGACAGCTTTCAGTTGGACGAGTAGAAGTTTCAAGTGGACATTTTTTTTATTTCTGGCTACGACTGCATATTGCGAGCTTGTTTTATGGACGTATTCATTTTTGTGAAAGACATGTTCATATGTTTTACATTTTCACAAACCATTTGAATTAAGGTTCATGTACATGAGCTATGTTTGTGTCCAATATTTGATGGCATGGATACAGGCACTGTGGTATGATCACTAACCCAAAATATAAAAGTTCTGTACCAATTATTTTGTCTGAGGTGAAAACATCTTTCCTGAAAATCCCTAAAAAAAGAATTAAAAGAAGAAAAAAATGGTCATAATGTTCTGTAAACATGTTGTGCATAAAATGTAAAGTAGCTCCTGTTCTTCAACGTTATGTAGCTTACTGTCGACAGCTGACTGATGATCAGCGGCAGATAATGTTGGTTCAGGGCAACTGACATGTGTCATGTGACTGACACAAAAATGTCAGGCCTCAGGTGGTAAAGGCCACAGAGGGGGTCATCACAGAGGGGTCCCTTATTTAACACAGCGGGTTGTTTGAATACAATGCAGGATAGATTTACAGCCAAGAAATTCCTTATTTCCTTGACTCATATCACACATACTCAAGTGTACAAGTATATGCTGGCTGTATGTTGCTCAATTGCTTTGGAATGTGTTAATTTCCTGTTTCAACAAAAGCTCTCATCACTGGCCATGCTGAGGTGAACAGCTGACTGTTTGCGTGTTAACTACATGTTGTTTTTAACAGGTTTAATGACAGTGATTTCAGCTCTGCTGTTACAGTAAGTGTTGTCTGGGCCGGATCTCAATAGAGATACAACGTACACGTTAGAGCGACTCTGTGCTGTTCGGTTGTGTTTTACCTAATTCTTTTGATTATGGCTGGCTGGGTTTACAATAATTAACAATATTAAAATGTGTTACCGAGCCACAGTGATGTGATGGGTTTATGGAATAATTTAAACACTAATGGCTAACATACAAAAGTAGATATATTATTGATTTAACAACAGGGAGATTACATACTGTACATACAACACATGCTGTATAATATGCTGTGTGTGCCTATCTGAAATTATTTTAGTTGAATTCTCGAAATGTCATTTACCAATGTCATGCACACCACAAACACAATTCCATTAATTCTCTTTGTAGTAAGGTGGAGGCAGCAATCTCACTGTTTGGCTAGTTAGTACGCAACACATCTTCATACAACGGATCGTAAGATATCTTACAAAAAGGGAATTCCTATTTTTTGTGTGTTTTTCCACGAAAGCCAGCAACACGTCTTTCCAAAATAAACTTCTGTCTTCACAGGAAACAACTCAGATGGGTTTAGGAAACAAAAATACTTAGTTAGGAAAAGATTGTGAAATAGTTAGGTTTAGGAAATGATCATTGTTTGGGTTAAATTAACTAAGAGAGTGCCGTTACTGAAGTACGCAAGTTACGTGACAAATGAATGAACGTTGACTTCTTGTTTTACATGGGGAACAAACAGCGGTCTCAAAGATTGTCGTTTGTTGGACCCATCTGTCTCCACTCCCGCCTGCCCTGTGTTTTTGAAGACTTTATGCTTCCTTGTGATTACGTGGATAACATACAAAATCATTTCATGGAATATCTACGGATTACAGCGCATCATGTTTCATTGGTATAGCTACAAAGCCTGGACTACGAGGGGTGAGTGGTTTTATTTTTGTCATATGGGTGAACTTAACAAAGCGTATTCCAGTCAGACATGCAGAGCAGTCGAGCCGTCCAAGGATACAAAGACACAAATGCTTTTGTAAACACATGTATCCACGCACGCACGCTTCCAATTACACCATCCCAATGGGAAAGTACTACTATTCATTTTTTCAGTGCTGTAATGTAGAGAGACTGGCAGGAATCTAAAAGGTAATCATCCGTTCCTTGCAGTCATTCAGCTGGCTCAGGGATTGCAATGTTCTGAGCAGCAGAGCTGGAAGAATGGCTTTCATTTGGCTTTTGTTCTGTTTGGATCGGGCAGGCTGACGGGTGTGTGTGTGTGTGTGTGTGTATTTGAAGAAATGTATGATGACAAGGGAATGACATGGAAGAAAGTGAAAATGAAAACCCAGCTTTATGACAGCTTCCATATACATAGATGAACCAAATGAACAGTAATTCCAAGATCATTCATCACTCACTAAATCATCTATTAACTTGATTACTGACGACTACAGAACCACTTCCAAGTGAATTAGTGTTGTTCCAGGTGCTCAATGTGCTTGTGATGTATATTTCTGCCTACATTTTCACACTTATATTACACTGATAGAGAGGTGGTGGCTGAAACGTGGAAGGAAATATGGCAATGCAGAAAAGAAATCTGACTGATAGCTCGCAAACATGGACGTAAACAATGCTGGATTCATTATAAGTGTTTTTAGTGGAAGGAAATGCACACAATGTCTTTTACTTAGAAACTGTAAATATGACTGTGTACAAGAACAACTCCTCAGTGTATCTTTAACTTTATTCTAATAATTATGGTTGTTTGTAATATCAAAATAACATGCTTTATTTCCTTCACATCTCAAAATAACTCAAAGTCAAATGACCCAAGTTATTTTCTTATTATTGCTACATAAAACTTGTGAGACACTGATGCGGTACTCATCTGTAATTCACCGTCTCTTGGTTTTACTTTCTGGCAAATACCTGCTGGCTTCTTAAAGCTGCCATCAAACAGCAGAGCCTGAAAACAACATGTTGCTGTTTGGCAAAAAGGTTTAAGGCTCATTTTGATTTCAAGTTAAATTTCTCAGAAGCCAGTCCCTCTCATTCTTACATTATTTCTTCATCACACAGCATCTGCCACGAATTGCACTCTTCTAACACGCTTATATAACTAATAGCTGCTTCTATGAAAGACTGCCCGAGAGATACACACGAAGATTTTAAGCCTGTTTGCCAAACACATTTCCTTTGAAGGCTAAACTGTCACTCATCGATTTATAGACTCTGTAAACCTCTCATCACTCAACTACACACACTTTCTTTGTTTCACACAGTGGAGAAACGAGTGAGAAGAGACAGGCACCAGGGGAGAGATGCATAGCAGTGTAAATAAGATACGATTATCTCTTATCAGTCCCACAGCGGAGGAATATGCAGCGTAGCAGTAGCAAAGGGAACGGTGATATAATAGATAAGTAAGTATAAAGCTCAGCAATAAATAGTAAACGGTGGAAAGAATATATAATATTAGACGGACTGAATGGATGAATTCACATCATTAAACATGAAAAACAGACCCAAGGAAGAAAGTCTGAATAGTGAGGAGTCACTGTTAGACAGGCGTATAAAAGAGTTTGTTTTTGCTTTGATAAGCTTTTAAATGTGCTCAATACATTTTTGTAAAAATATATTTTGGTCACATTTTATACAGCTTTAAGTCCCCAGTGTGTGGAGTTGAAGAGTAGACAGACAGAAAACACAAACACAGTAATCTAAATGTCATTTAAGGATTTTGGTCACTATTCCAAGTCTGACTTCATCAGGACAACGTGCTCGTCGAAGGGGGTCGCTGGTCCAAAGTAAACTAATCAGCAGTAAATCATGATGGCACTGACTGACTGATTACAGTGCTCCTTCAAATCAGACTGGCAGCTATTAAGAGCTGCTCTTTGCTCCATTTCTCTTGACTGTTCTGAGAAAAGATTATTCCCCTTGATGGCGTTTTGAGTGAAAACATCCCATTGAGCCAGACCATCAGACCACAACTGTGTGCCCAGGACAGCTTGTGACATGATTGAAATGAGGAACAAAAACAACGTAAAACCCCACTTTGGTTGTTCATTGCTCTGTTTAGAGAGGACAACAAGGGGCAGGAGCAATTTACGGGAAACCACAGAGGAATTCAGTGGTCAAAGTGAGTAATGTGATGGTAATATATGAGAGGATATCTGAGGCGCAGAGGCTCAATTTGTTACATTTTTTCTTCCTGTCTATTTTTCCTTGTGTGCTTCCTCTCTGCCTCACCCTTTTTACACTTTTACGGGCCGTGAAACTTATTGATTTTATTTGCTTATTTCATCCATCAGCGTTTTCATCATCATTAATTCACGACATATTCATTTCACTGTTAAATTCAACGTATATAGAACAAAAAATATTCTCATAGTAACGGCTAACTGATTAACTGATAAACTCACATTTTTTATGTCAGCCTATGAAAATTGTCTATATTCCTAATCCCTGTCTGTTTTCTTAATGAAGATTCTGATATTAATATGAAGTTGATGAAACAGAGAATGATATTTTCTTGTTCAACCGCTCCTAAAAAAAACCAACTATAAATCTCAAATTTTGAAACAGTTGAAACAATAATGTGCTTTTTCACAAACTTCTCCGTTTGTATGAAACCAACTTGGTTATGCCCGTACAGTAAACTATGTGTACTCTGATCATGGTATTATTTGGCCTGTGTGTGTGTGTGTGTGTGTGTGTGTGTGTGTGTGTGTAAGTGTGTGAGCGTACCTGTGGCCTTCTCCGGATTGTTACACATGAAGCAAAGCCAACCTTCCTCTTCCTCACTGTAGCCAAACAGGTCAAAAAAGCGCACCTCCTCCAGCTGAATCTGGAGACTGTCCAGGTCCTGCAGACAGACGGAAAGAAAACAGAATAGCTATTAAATATCCAGTAACTATATTTTAACTTCCTATTCGGTAGATCTGTATTAATATTGACAAAAGATATTTTTCACAGAAGACAATTGGACATGTCATGGTAGGAAAAGCACGAGTGTAACTAATAAATATAATGATGTCTGAATTCCATTTAGCTTCTTCAGTTTCCTGGTATTGCGCATGCTGGCTCACTGTGACAGCTTACTAGGAATAAATACAGGGAATACTGCGTCTGATCCATCCAATCATATTTTATTTATTCTGTCCTGCATATTACATCTGCACATTGCCCACATAGCCTACATTATAACTGAAATATTAGGACATTTGAACAGCTGTGTATTATTAAATTACAGCCGGCATCATCAACTTTCTTTAATAGTTTAAAATGCTCACATTGTTTGTATGAGCTAATACTGACGCATCATTCCTCATTCTGATCCCATGGATAGTTTCTATTACACAAAATACTATAAAGACTGAGAAGAAATAAGAAAACTAGATGGGAATTTATAGGAGAGGTTTAACCAGCCCACATAAATCTGTTAAAGCTTGTTAAAGCTGCTGTACAGGAACACACACACATATACCAAATCACAAGCATAGTACACACAGATGATAAGTGGTCCTCAACTCTAAGAGGTACTTAAAACCTCGACATTCCAGTCATGGACAGCACAACTGTGCATCAGTGTGTGTGTGTGTGTTTCAGAATAGAAAGTAATAGAAACCAATACAAATCCCTAAAGACCCCCTGCACATGGTAAGAGTTATACTTCACTTTGAATACACACAAACACACTTCAATGACAGTTAAACCCACGAGATAATACATATTTATCTTAAAACAGGAACATTCAAGAAGATGATGGATTACTGTCATCAGTCTTCATGACAAAGAAACAGTCATCCTGTGTGTGTGTGTCTTCATACTGTTCTTGCGTACATTTGCTGTTTAACCTAATCTCTCTGTAATGAACTCACAGTTTAAATAACCACCAACGCGGCAGAATACTCCGCTTCATCATGTCTCTGAACTCTCGAGTCCTTTCACATTTTCTGATGATCCATTTAGGAACGTAGTGTAGTGTTATTGACCACGGACAAGGTACTCGCATGAAATGCCCAGAGGGAACTGGATTTTAAGGAGTATATGAAAAACAGGTAGCTGTAGCGTGCTTGACCTTTCGACCCGTGCCCCTTCAGTCAGTCCTTGATGTTAACAAGCGAGGATTTAAATTTGAAAGCTGTTTTTTAGGTGTGCATCACACGCACACGCACATAGTTTAGTTTCTTCCATATATCAGAGGCGTCCTTTGTGTTGTAATTGAGGTGAAAGGGCTTTGCCTGCAGATACATATAAACCAGGAACATGTGTGGCTGAGAGAGATCTGTGGATTTACGCAAACTTTATTATGCTGATGCGATTTAGAGGACTAAGTGGTCTTCAGGAGACGCATGTTGCAAATTTGGGAAATCCTGATTACGATTACTGAAAAGTGTGAGACAGTGTGAGAGGCTGAAAGGTGGATGAAGAGGTGAAAGAAAGGGCAAGAAGAAGAGAGGCTGGATAAAGAAAACATCCGCAAATGGTTTCAGAGGCGAGTACAGTAAGAGTACAGTACTTGAGTACAATTTCGAGGTACTTGTACTTTACGTGGCTATTTCCATGCTATACTACTTTGCACTTCTACTACACTAAAGAAAAAAATGACTAGTGTAGTTACAAGTTAGTTTGCATGTTAGAATTTCACACGGATAACACAAGATGCATTCGTATAGATTTTACTACCAAATAGTAATGTAGTTAAAGGGGAACTCTACCACCGTTACACATGAAGTTCAGTTTACTCATCATAAGGAGCACGACTCAGTCTGTGTAACGTCTTCATGTGGCTCTGGAGAGTAACTTGAGTACCGGATTTGGATACTTCCTCCAATCTAGGATACTCATTCAAGGAAATAATGCTACACAGATGAAAGATGAAATAACTACCACTTGTGGCTGACAAACAGAAGTTGCTCATTGCAGTTACTTGTTGAATAATTCAAGCCTGCACACAGTAATCATTCCACCGAGTTTTGGCTCTCAGAAGAGACAATCAAAATAGAGACTTTTCTGGATTAAACAATGCCGACGCAAATGCCGAGGTAATTAAAATAGCTTCAAAATTGTTTACTGATTACAAAGCAAAGCTGAGCTGAATCATCCATTCTTTAAAAAGCAACAAAGGAAAGGCAGAAGCGGAAAGACGATGAGGGACACACTGTGAGTCAGAAGTTGAGCAACAATGTGCGAGAAACAATAAATCAGGGAAAACACGGCCAAGATCTGCTGCATAACGCAACGAGAAGGGAATCATTAACTTAAATGAGTAAAACACCACGTATGAGTATGTGCTCCCGGAGTCCATAATACTCCGGAAGGCCATAATAAACAGATTACCTTATTTGCATACGGTTTGAATGAGCCTTTAGGAGGAAGTCGCTGTGTTTAGAGTGACACATGTGCAGCTGGACAACAGACGGATGTGGACAAACATAAACCCAAACTTGATCCTTCAGGACCAGAGAGGTGGATTCAATAAAGAGATGAAGAAACAAGGGCTGAGTGGGTGAGTTTGAATATAATCTGTCTATCTTCATGTAACCCCCTTTACCCCTTCAGCACGCCCCCTCTCTCTCCTTCTGCACGTCACCCTCCTCCCTCGATCGCCGTTTGTAGATCACCATTATAAGGTGATCCCGATGCAAGATTTTAAGTGCACATGACAGATTACAACTGAAGGCAAAACAGCGACGATGGAGAGCTGTACTGAATCTGCAAAACATGTTCAAATCAAAAGCAACTCTGTTGTTCTCATGTTCAGTTTTAAAAAGCTATGTTATTGAAATAAGTAAATCAATCAGAGTGGAGAGATTCCCTCACTGCGTTCTTTGTAGTCTCACCTATTGTTGTATTTTATCATAATTTAAAAGGAGAACTTCATCAATTTTACACATCAAAGTCTGCTGACAGGTCCTGGGGAGTCTGATATATTGAAGAAGAGATCAAATGAGAAGAAGCTTGTGATAATGAGACGGGACAGGATTAGACAAAAGGAGAGGATAGTAGAGAAGACGTGAGGACAGAGACGCTTCATGGAGGTTTCCTGAATAAACTTAACCAGAGACAGAGAGCAAGGACAGTGGGAGGTGGAGACAGGAAGAGGAGAAGAGAGGGGAGTGGGAGTCAGGAGAAAGACGAGTGGATGAGAAGTGGGAGTGTTGGAAGGGGGAGTGGATGAAGGAAATAAACAAGGCATAGGCTTTGTCTCTCAGGAAAATGTCCAACAATGTCTGGGCATGAATGCATGATGTCCTGATATTCTAAGCCAATTTTAAGCAGGCACAGCACATCCTGTAAGTCTTGCTGCTCCTTTAAAAAGGAGCAATTCGTCTTTCCACCCTACCTTTTGTGTTGTCTTTCCTTCCCCAAATATCTTTATCTAATCTCAGTCCTTAGCTTTACTCTATCTCCTGGTATTCAGCCTCCTTCATCCTCATCCTCTGCCAAACTTTATCTCCACCCAAAGTTGTATCAACAAACGCTCTAACTCCGGGCTAAAGGCAGAAGGTGAAACAATACTTGTCAAGTATCTCCCTTCTCAGGCTTCCACTTTGCTGCCGTCATATCTTATGCCATGTCTGCCCTCTTTTCCTCTTTCTCTTTTCTCTTGCCACATCCTTTATTCTATTATACTTCTTCACAATCTTTCCCCCCCCGTCTTTTTCAGTCTGCATGTTCACATCTTCCTCCTTCATCAGTGTTTAATTACTCCACATATCACATTTTTTGTCTTTACTTCTGCTTATTCTACTTTTTTTGTACTTTCCTCTCCTTGAACCATTATTTTTAGTAATCTTAACTCTCTCTCATCTCCAGTTACCACTGTTATTCGTCTCTAACCCTCTTTAAGGGACAACAGACGGTAGAGGAATACTGTGCTTAATCTTAATCACTCAGTGCCTGGATTCTTTTTTCCAATCTTGCCCATTATTTCCCATAATGTCCTTTTCTTTCATCCTTCAATCTCCACTTTGCTCTCTCGTGCTGATCTATGTCTCTTGTGACTAACGCAATGATGGTACAGCTCTCTAATTTTTCGTGAGGCTCATTTCAGTTTAATCTTCGATTAATCTTTATCTCTTGACCCCTGACCAACTTTTCAAGTCTTTTCACTGTTTCCATTTTTTAAACCAATTACCTTTTTTTTGTTAATGTATCTTTCTCAACCTTTTCCTCACAAGTATCTCACATCCTTTCATTTCTGTTCATCCTTGAAGCTCTTAGCTCCCTCCATCCCTCCCATCTTTGCTGACACCAGCTTTTTATTATCTCTGTCATAAAACCACTAACATAAGATGCCAGAGGCTGTACATAACTCATTCTTAAACCTCTGGAGCTTCATGAATCCCTATAGTATCCTTTTAAACCTCCCTGTCAGTACAGACACAATCGATAACCTTTTCCGTCTGATGTATGTAATAGCTTTTCTTCCTCTCGCATCTCTTCTCTCCTCGTCTTCCACGACATGTGTTTCTGATTGGCTGACAGGGACAGGAGTGAAGCTGTAGGACTAATAGAGTGGGAAAGAAAGCAAAGAGGAAATGCAGAGCATATGGATGGAGGGAAAGGTCGTGGTCTTCTTATTCCCTCTTTGCTGTTAAATCTCATCCTCTCTTTTTAGTGTTTTTCCTTGGTGCTACCTGACAAATGAAAACCCATATTAAAGCAAAAAGGGACGTCAAAAGTGTATCACTCTGTCAGTGTACACTGTGTACTTGGCAGGTTTGTTGGGTCGCTACCGGTTACGGTTAGTCATCTTATTAATGCCAGCTCTGATCATCACATCACACTTTGTTGTCTTTGGACAAAGCCAAGCTAGCTGTTTCCAGTCCTATGCTAAGCTAACTGGCTGCTGGCTGTAGCTTCATACTTCATACTTCACAGACGTGAAAGTGGTATTGATCTTCTCATTTAACTCAGAGGCAAAATCAGAGGTTTTAATGGAGACTGATGCAGTGAAAACCATAAAACAGAAGTTTACAACCATGTTTGGACCGTTGAGCGTCACACAGCATGAATCTTCCTGCCCTGCAGTGATGGAATGTAACTAAGTGCATTTACTCAAGTAGAAATTTGAGGTACTTGTACTGAACATGCGTCTTTTCTTTTCACTTTTCACTTCTACTCACAGATCAGAGGGAAATATTGTACTTTTTGCTTTACTAGAACTACGGTATTTCCCAGCATTAGTTACTAGTTGCTTAACAAACTAACAACCAAACAGTTGATACAAGTACAACTAAAAATGAATTTAAAATAGTTCTGGTAATTGGTAGAGTCATTTTTCATGCCAAAACATAATATACAAATTCACAAGTCCAGCTTTTAAAATGTGAGGATTTGCTGCTAATTATCATTATGATACAATGCTAATTATGTTTGGTATTTAGAATTTATGCTTAACAGTTTTGAGGTCTGGACTGTTGGTTGAACAAAGCAAGCATTATGATGGTGTCACTTTGGGATCTGGGAAAAGCATTTCTCACAATTTTATGATTAGTTTTTTACACACCAATCAATCACTCAATTAATCATTTGAACTATTAGTTGCAGTCCACTAGCCAACTACAACAGCAACATCCTGCTTATCCAACTCTACATTAATGCATGAGTAATAATAATCTGATGATATAGTATATAACAGTCACAGGGATTATTTTTCTCTATCTTTTACTCTTAATACGTTAGTACGTTTAACTGATTATACTTAAATATTTTAACTAAAAATGTTCAATGCAGGACTTTTACTTGTAACAGAGTAGTTTTACAGTGTGGAACTTGTACTTTTACTTAAGTAACGTATCTGAATACTAACTACACCACTATTGCCCTGTGTAAAGTTAGTGTGTTTATGAATAACTAGGTATGTTCATGCTCCATGTGGTAACTATAGCTGGTCCATCTGATAGAATACACAACACAACTTTAGAGAAAGACAAACCACAGCTGTATTTTTCCTTGTGGGTCTAATTATTTCCCAGGGACCACTTAGCTTGTCACATTATGAAAGGGCAGCATGAGGAACACCACCCATATCCACACACTTACAAAAACAGACATTGAAATGAGCATGCACACACACACACACACACACACACACACACACACACACAGACAGACATGATGAAGACGAGGCGTCGGGGTGAGTAAGGCCTTGTATACAGAACTGTCTATTTAGTGCATTCCATATTCAAACAAAGTGGATGTTGAACTTTGACACTTTCTTATGTTGGAGTTTAGTTTTTTTTTTCGTTTCACTACCGATGACTTCATTCCCTCTGCTCAAGGCAAATAGGGGGAAGCAGCATGCACGCACACACAGACACACACAAACACACCTTCCTGTGTGGGGTGGTGTTCTGTGTCATAGCCATGGGGAAGCTGTGAGCTCCTTTTAGCTGCGTCTTCTCCCAAAGGGTGGCAAGCCTCTGGACACACTCATCCTTGGAGCAGAGAGCGACACTGGATTTACTCTGGTCAAAAGAGAGAGAAAAGAAAACAGCAGGGAAACAAAATTAAAATATAAAACAGAGATATGGTTCAGACAGAGACGGAGTAAAAATATTGGAGAAAAAAAAGGTTGGGAAAACAAAGCTACTCTTGTTTGCCAGTTTACATTCGAACAGATGCAACCACATCTTGCCTTCCAAGATAATCCTCAACTGTACAGCTCTTCATATGTTCCCAAAATGACATGGAGACTTTCAGAATCAACTGTTAATTTAAAGCTTGTTGTATTGATTCATTGCAAAATGAAAGTTTTTCAAAAGGGCACAACATGTTTTTCTACTCTGCAATGTAAATCAACTTCAGTGAGCAAACCACAACCACATTGTCTGCGCACCTGTAGGTGTAGCAGCATGATGTGTATCCAAAGGTGAGGCCGTCGGCTGGTCATGTTGAAGCAGGATTTGGCGTACAGACAGTAGTGGCCCTTAAGAGGACAGGAGAACGACAGCTTGGCCACACACCCTCGATTTGAATCTGACACACAAAAAAAGACAAACAAACACATAAAAAATTGCAAAATTTATATTTAGCAGATGCTCAAGTTGAAATTTCCAGGCTAAACCAGTGTCGGTTAGCTCTCTGTCTTGGTGTGCTCCTCTCCACCCCTTCAACATGAAATGTATGTAACTTTGGGAACATGTTTACAGAGTGATTCATGCAGGGACACCGCGTCTTGTAATCATCAGAAGACGTCTTCTCTTCCCACCACCACCTCCCACAAACTCCCACCTCAAAGCCAAGGACAAGAAGCCAGGGACAAGAAACCATGCAGGGACAATAAACCAGGGACAATATACCAGGGACAATAAACCGGTGACGGTTTCACGTTTCTGTGCTTCATGTGGAAATCATCTCGATCAGAATGGTGATCAAAAACATTGTTTTAGTTGTGTCTGATTTAACGAGTAAAGAGGTTTAGGATTTCTTCTGTGTTTAGAGTAATAATTACACAACATGTTGTTAATAAGTCTATTCACTTTGTGGTGGAAAGTCAGAGGAGAGGATGGATACACTCAAAGCAAAGAATGTCCATCCAACCCAATAAAGGAGCCTACAGCTGCAGCACAAATGACAGCGTACAAAAGAAAAGCAGAGGTTGTCCGCATGATGATATTTGCACGCTCCCAAAATTGTAATTGACGCCACGTTTTTGTCTATAAGGGCTTTACAGGCAAACATCCGTATGAGCATTAAGCAGGCTATACAAACAGACAAAGGTGCAGCACAAAATGTCTCGTGTGGATTAAACAAATCAGTTATTAAGTGCTGGTAGGCAGTTACCTTTAATCGGAGGCAGGGTAGCTATTTCCCCCCGTTTTCTTTCGTTTTGCTAAGCTAAGCCAACTGGCTGCTGGCTGTAGACTTATATCAGAGAGACAAACATGAGAGTGGTATCAATCTTCTCATCTAACTCTCAAAGAAAGCGAATAAGAGCCTTTCACAAAAATGGTTAAAGAAATCAAACATCTTCTATATATCTTCTCTTAATAACAAAGTTATCTATCCATGCTTCAGGGGACTGAAGTGGTTCAAAGTGATATAAAGCCAAACTCAACCTTACTTTGTTTTTCGGCACATGGGATAAACTCAGATGCCTCAAAATTGCCTAAACAAAATTGTAGGAGACACTATGGTAGAGAATTTAAACCTACATGTGTCTGAACTATAATGTGTATGTTTATCCTGCATCACTCTTTAGCACAGGTGTGTTTCTAAGAGAGGTTGTTTGTTTCTGATAGTCGGTGACGCTGTATATTTTTTGTCTCAACGTGTGTGTCAATGTTTGGATTGAGGATACATGTGTATAATCCTCCTCCCCTGAGATAGAGGGGTCGGCAGCTCCATGATGACATCATCCAGCTGAGACCACCTGTGACATCATCAAGTGCTAAGGGGTCAATTCTCATTAAGAGAAAATGCAAAGCACCAATTATGAATGGAGGAGTGAATGTCTGTCTATGTGTATGCGTTTAACATGTGTATATTTAAATTCAATCAATTAACCAGAGGCCAAAGGAGAAGTTTGTTATTTTTTAGTCTTGTTTCCTGTTTTACACATGTGCATAGATGTGTGTTTGTGTGTGTGTGTCTGTGTGACTCCTGGCTGCCTCTTAGTTAAAATGGCATTAAGGTCAAAGGTGGAGCAATAACATCCCCTCCTGTCAATCAAATATCATCACCTCTCATGTCATGTTTGAGTCTGGAGCCGTGTGTGTGTGTGTGTGAACTTTGTCTGTTCCTAATATGTTCAAAAGACTGAAGCTGTGTCCCCATAGGTGGAGCTCACTGCTGCAGATGACTCAGACTAAGGAATAGAGAAAGGACTTTACTGTCCTATTGCATACTCATGTAAGTATTTCTGGGTTGTAAAGTGTGAACTGATGTGTATTGTTGAATTTGTGCACACACATAAACAGAGGCGTATGTCACGGGGCATGATGGTGGACTCAAACTCAAAGGAATTTAATAAACACTTAACTAAGAACGTGAACACTACAAGAACATAGGGAATCCAGGGACGAGACAAGAGACGAGGGGGCAAATCCAGCAGGACAGGCAGACGTGGGAAACCGGGAGCAGGACAAGACAAACGGGCGGGGACAACACAAACAATGACCTGGCAGTGGGCGACTGAGAGACAGGGGTTTATAAGGTGACTTGAACAGGTGAGGAGAGTTGTGCTGATGAGGGAGTGCTTGATTACTGAGGGAGTGGCTGAGTTAGATTGGTGCTGAGGGAGTGGCTGACAGGTAGAGTGCTTGATTAGCGGCAGGTGAAGGGAGTTAGCCTGATGCTGAGGGAGTGAGGAGGGTGAAACTAGACAAAGACACACAGAACACTCAAGGCAAAGCCTGATCGTGACAGCGTAAGGTACCAGTGGTCTGGTTGAACAGATCAATGTTTTTCATGTCTATATGTGTTAATCTTGTAAAATATGTTCATCTCATGTATCAAATGCATATTCCATGTTGGCGTTGGTTGAATTTAGCTGTTCGATTTATATCCCATTTAGCTAGGATCTATTATTACAGGAGGGGCTGCATTAAAAACAACAAAAGGTGAACAGGCGGTGCGACGTAACAAAATGGCAATGAAGTCTTAATTCAAGTGAAGCAAATCAAATTGAAAAATGGAAAATAAGCAGGAGGCATTACTGAAAATATATCAAATATCAAATTGCTGAATATGAAAAGAATCAGAGGGGAAATGTGAAAATGGATTACAAAGTTTAAGTAAGTGGATTAGATTAGTTTGGAAGAGGTTTCGCATTTCATTGTTTTTTCACATGAACTGCTTGACCGCTGTTTCTAGTCAGTATGCACTGCTAGAACGAAGGTATGAAAGCATGCGTGCACACACACACAAAACTGCACCTATACATGTACTTCATGCATACTACATGTATGCATAACACTCATCTGTTCCTACTTAAACCTGACTATGTTGTAGAGATGTAACAGAATCTAATAACCCTGCCCATTTCAAAACAATTCCTTGATTAATTTTGCCATTAACAAATTAGCTCAGTGACATTTGCCATATAGAGTTTGGTCCATAGGTTTTATTTAAGAGTACATTCTTTCCCTCCAGATTAACAAGTACAAGTTCACTGGAGTCAGCAGCTGAATAAAAGGATAGGTCTGGCAACTCTCCTCTCAAAACAGTAAAACCAGCAAGAAATTGATCACACTGACCCCTTTAAGATGATGCCATTTTAAATCTGCAGTGCAGATTAACCAACGTGAAACTGTGAATGAGGTCAATGGGGAACAAAGACAATTCAGTAAATGGTATCATTCAACATCAAATTTAAAGACCCGAACTAGGGCTGTGTTTGGACAAATGGTCTAGGGGAGGTAAAAAAATAAATCAACAAAATATTTGCTTTGCTTCTCAGTGTCTGTCCAGACAGGATATGAATCATAGGAGCGTAACTAATACTGGGGTAGAAGGGGGAAAAAAAAAAAATCACTGAGAAGCACAAAACTATTCCCCCTCCAGAAATAAATCCCTGTCTGATTGGGTCTAAATGTGTGTGTATGTGAGATGAAGAATGATAGTGTGCGAGGAGAAGAGAAGAGAAGAGGAGGTGTATCATTAATCATCCCCAGCCACGACTTCTGAATGTAATCTCATTCAGGTTCAGCAGGCTACACAAACCCTCCCTCTGCCTCTCTCTTTACTGCACTTTTCTTCTCCCCCTACTGAATAAACCAATAACACTGTCATCAAATGATCTTCAGCACTTATTTTCAAGAAAGCCTGCCGTTCGTCATGTTCACATTACCTTCTATTGCACACTGCTCTGGTATGGGGATCTGCTGCACCATGTCTCGACAGAACTCTCCGATGGTCTCCATATTGTCTCTTAAATGGATGAAGAGCCTGTCAGCGTCCTCATGCTCCTCCTCCTTCTCTCTGCTTTGACCTTCCTCAGCCTCTTTGACCGCTCTGTCCAGGGCAGCTGTGAAGGGCATCGAGCCGTCACCCTTCGGTTTCCTCTCGACAGGCGGCGCTTCCTGGTTCTGCGAATTCACCGATGTGTTGGAGAACACGTTGTATGGGCCCGGCTCCGAGCCGTCACCGTCCTCCCCGGTGTCTGAGTTGATGGAGCGCGAGCGCCCAGCGTGGAGGGCCAGGCTCTTTGACCTAAGAGAGGCCAGAAAATTAAAAAAAAACAGTCAAAAATAAAACAGAATACAATGCATGGCAGGAGTATTGTGGGGCATAAGCATGATTCTGCTTAAGCTACTGATCCTTTGTGGTCCGTGTCTGCCTTTGCCTTTGCCTGGGCATTTCTTTGTTTTTTGGGCCAACTAAAAAAAGAGCAAAAGTTCATCAATCCAAATCAAAGCTGAATTGTCATTGTTTAATTTTAAATACAATGTGTTGGAGTGCAAAGCAAATGAAAAAAAATACTGTCTCAGTATTTCAAGCATCCCTGTTCTGTGCTCTCAGCATATAAACATTTTTCAGTGTTTCTTTTGGAGTTATTTCAATAGAAACTGTATCTTTGGATGGTCTGTTCATGTTTTTCTTCAATAAACAGAAATAGAACAATGTGTTCTTGGCTCAAGGGATCTCTTCTTAATATGACTGGAAATCATAATAATCCAGCAGGCTGCACAGTGATAACAGTCTATTGTTCATAAAATTGTTACCATCCAGTCAGATCTAAGCAGATACTCAGCAGAGCCATTTCATGTGACATGCTAACCGACCTGTTGAATCTCATTTCTCGTCTCTCCTCCCTGACAGCTTGGCTCAGGCTGTAGCGTCGTTGGGGGGCAGGGGAGTCCTCCTCCACCTCGTCCTCCTCTCCCCTCTCCTCCCCCATTTTCTCCTCAAAGGCCTGGATCTTCACCTGCAGCCGCTGCTCTGACCCCCTAACTCCCCCTCCGCCCCCTGGGAGAGATGCACGAGGAGACGGCGGGCTCGCCTCATCCACTCTGTAAAAAGCACACACAAACAGGTCAAAGGGTTGGATTCCATGTGGTGGGCACGTGAGATGAAGCTGGACGGACACATTTGGATGGATTTCAATAGCCTCACTCTCCACCGTCCTCCCTCCTCCGGATAGCCTTTCTGTAATTGTGGCTTTCTCACGATGACCGGCTCTATTTCTGTGTCTCTCACTCCATGTGTCCCCCTCTCTTGCTCTCTATTTGGTTTTGTTTCTATTTGTCCCTCACCATGGAGCCATTCTCCTCTCTTTTGATCTTTAACCAAACTAATTATTCCCTTCATCTCTCGCTCTCTTTCTTTCTGTCCCTATTGTTCCACCACAAGTGGCCTTTATAACTTCATTAAACAGTCCACTTGTTTGCTGAAAGAGGACATCCAACTGCCTCTTTATTGTTTTTCTTCTGTCTTCCCCCCGGCTCTTTCACTAATAAACCATCCTGTCCCTCTCAATCCCTCGTTCCCTCGGTCTTTCTTCCAGAAGACCCCAAACAAGTATTTGGAAGCTCCCAATCCTGCACATGATGTTTTTATTTCGGAGAGAGCTGTGCGTGTCACTCCCAAGCTGCAGCCAGATGAATCCCAGTCAATGTATGCACATTAACACTCACACATGCACACGCAAAAGCACAAGCATACTGTGTCCTCACATGTTGTGCTTGCATTCTGCATGATGAGAAAAGACATAGGAGCATAAAAACATGGGCCTGTAAATGCCCGTCTCCTAACCTGCAGTGCATGGCCGTGCTCTCCTCCAGTCGTCTCCCCAGCAGTCGGGCTATAGCAGTGAACGAGTTGCTCATCCTGTAGATGTCTTTGCCGCAGCCTCCCAGTAAAGTCGGGTAGCGGTCGGTAAGAGCTCTGATCTCCAGCAGCAGTGTGTGGTGAAAGCTGTGCTCCATGCTGCCCAGACAGGACACCAGGTAGACCAACACGCTGCGAGCATGAGTCTGGAGAGAGGAGGCGACACAGAGAGAAAGACAAGATGTTAAAAGGATAATATCTGCTGTTGTGATCCACGTTGGTCCCAGCATAAAACTAAACAAAGAAAGAATTAATGAGATTGCCAACAAGTTGTTTTATTGTACAAAAAACATCCAGTTTTATGGTTATTTCTAAAGTCGTGGTTGTTTCTAAATACAGAGGAAATGACTGAAAATGGCACCAGTGTTGTGTTATAGGACAGCTTGAAAGTATTTTCTGTGTTTTGGTGAAGAAAAAGAGTAGATTTTATCTAATTCGACACACATTGGTTTTAAGCTTCCAAGAAGTTTCTTTTGTTTCTAAATCACGACAAACAATACTGAATACAAACACATGCTCTTGGCAAACTTGGCATTACTTTCCACTAGTGGTAACACACTTTTTGTCATTCTGAGTTTGCTTTTTTGTATCCTGAGCATATGCAACCTGCTCACCTCTGGCACAGAATAACAAGGTTCAACCCCCTGTTATGCATATTTGATTCTCAAAGGAAGGTTCATACTTCTCTTATATGTGTACTATGTCCTATGATATGCAATAACATAATCAATATACCCCTGTGAATGCAACAACAACTTTCAGTTAATCACTTTTTAAACTGTCCATTTTGGATCCTAAACCGTTATTTTACAAAAAAAGGACACGTTTTAAAGTGGTGTAAACTAGTCAATCATTGTGGTAACAGATGAACACAGGTGACATGGTTCGGTAAAGGCACTCTGGCAGTGTTTGAGAGCAGAACCAAAGCCAACAAAACATCTGGAAGCAAAAAGAGGATTCTTTAAAAAAAAAAAAGAAAACTCTTTGCACTTGTAAAACCTCACACTGCTTTGACTGAAAAAAAGAGACCCACTCTCTTCTCCTCCTTGAGACAAACTGATTGATTGATCGAAGGAAGGACAGAAAGACAGAGCGAGCCAACCTGTGCTTCCAGAGCTCAAGCACACCTTGTAACAAGGAGAGAAGAATGCAGTTACTGCACAGTTTGGGCATGTTTCACAAGCACGCTCTGTCGGATGCTATATTTATACGGGGATGTCAAAACGACCAGAAAAAGGTACAACTTGACTTTATACCGTAACAACATGCTAAGGTAGGTATTTAGGAGTTTATGAGCCTGGAGTGCAGGCTGCAGGTACAAAGACTTTGCTAGGATGTGAGCTACTTCTCCACACAGTTCAAGCTTTTACTGTTGAGATGTTTTACTTTTTAAGGACTTACTATAATACTTCCAAACATTACAGCACAAGCATAACTCGCATCATTTCAGACATATAAGCGTAGTACTTTTAAAAGCCTGCCAGATCAAATGAAGCTCTCCCTCATCATAAAACGACACAGCTCGTGTTTAATTGTCTGGAAAAAAGCACTTGGCCTTAATTTGATGTCTTAAACACATCACTGGTTTAACTCATGACTAAATTCTTCGGTTAAATCCTGCAATGAGCACAATAACAGGAAGTTAACAAAAAACAAAGAACTGTTACATTTAATAACTTTAAATGTTCACCAGAAAATGATGGCTGGACGGACACGAATGTGGAGAAATAAATCAGCTCTTTCTGCCTCATGTGTGCTCTACTACACAAACAGATACACACACACACACACATAAACACGTCCTCTGAGAAAGACACAACGTCCAGCAACAAGCCAAATCTGTGCTCTGCTCACTAACCTGTTGTTTCTTTCTTTCCTTGTTTGCTCGGTCGCTTATTTGCCCCTGATTGTCCATCAGCACACTGATCTCTCCGCTTCCTTTGGAGCTGCAATCTGGCACACTAACAAGCCCCATGGAGATACTCCTGTGTGCATGACTGTGTCCTTTGTTTCCCGCAGCACATTAATCACTTGCGACAGTGACAATGACTGTGTATCTATCAAGGGGACGGATGATTTAACCTTTGAAATTCCGAAAATTTCTATAAATAGTAAATGTGAAGAATTTCAGCAAAGTACAAAAATATCACACATGTTACATTTTATAAGCGGTTGCTTTAAACTTTTTAAACTCATATGGACTGTATGTCATGGTACCTCTCTTTGCCAGTAGTCACCAACCTCTTTGGCTTGTAACTTGTAACTGTATATTTTTAGGAGCTGTTAGCGAAGAGATTCTTTTTACCTTCTCAAACTGTTATTTTAAAGAGGTTGTATAGGCCTGAGGTAAAACGTAGTCGTCTAGATGTGCTGTAACTTGCGACGCCTTGGAGATGAACCAACATGAAGATGGTACACAATGTTAACAATTTTATATCAGTGCAGCCTTATAATCTTCATTTTGGCTCGTAAAATAATTGTTTTATTGAAGGTATGACATAATCTGAGTGTCTAGTAAAACAGCAACACTTGAATGATGCAGTCTTCTTTAAACAGTTAACATTTTGCAAAGACAATACTTAATTGTTATGTATTGAGGTTGTACTGTATATTTTGTGGTGATGTGTTGGACTGCATAATATTGAAAAGTGTTTCTGATGTTAATAATAATAATTTAGTATTCAATCAACACAATTCTGAAACATTATTAAGACCAAGTAAAAAATATCTTAGTTTTCCAAAACTAGGATTTATAACAGGACTTCTGGGTTGGACAGCATTAAAGCTTTTTCTTTTCTCAATGTACTTTGATGAATATACAGCACAATATAGACTAACTCTCTTCAGGAGGTAAAGGAAACCAGAAAGAGTGTTGTGCAATCATGTTACACTCAAGTACAAATGCACCCCAGTGAGAAAGTGTGTTTGTGTGTGTGTGTGTGTGTGTGTGTGTGTGTGTGACACAAACAGGAACCCACAGGAGGTACTCTCCACTGCCATCACCAGGAGGCCTCTGCAGAGGCATTTCCCAGAAAAACATGGGTTATTTTCCAAATGGTTCCAATGTGAAGAAAGACAGGACACTGAGGCCTGACCAACTGCGTGCATATGTGTGTGTGTGTGTGTGTGTGTGTGTGTGTGTGTGTGTGTGTGTGTGTGTGTGTGTGTGTGTGTTCTGAAGCTGGGTTGGCAGGTTTTTTTGACAAGAAGATTGAGGAGGAAAGGTTGCCCTGAAGCAATAGAAAACTGTATTATGGTTTCCAGCTCCATAATATCTGTGTGTGTGTGTGTGTGTGTGTGTGTGTGTGTGGGTGTCGTGCCATATTTCCCCCTTTCATTAATTTACCCAAATTGTCGTTAAACTGCGTTAAATGGACCCAGAGGAAAAGAGGGAGGGGGAGCCCTCAAGCTGTCCTGCTGTCACCTTCATCGCTCCGCACACACACACACTACAGACTGGCTGTAATGTCTGTCATACAAACATGTTTTTATTATTATCCAGCAGAGGTTTGCATCTTCCAAGGTATTTTTGAGACGGGTGTTCACTGTCTTCCCGGGATGAGAACATCTTTGCCGGGGGTTTAAATCCAGTATTTCCACAAACTGTGCTCACTTTTCAGAAACAAAACTACAATTATTTTCTATTAATGTTGTCTCTTACTGGCAAAACTTTCAACAAACACAATTTTGGGGGAGCAACATTTACTCAGACTGTAGGTGTTTTAAAGCCTGGGCAACAGAAACCTCATGGCTACTCTGAACCACTTTCAGATGGGAAGAAAAGATAATATAAATAGAGGAATTAGAAGCATTGATTTAAACCATCAGATGAAGAGTCTACAGCCACACAATGTCATCATGGCAATCAATCCACCTCCCCTAAAAATGTCAGGCCATGCTGGCAGCAGAGGAAAAGTCAGGGGACCACCAGACTTAGTCGGGAGCTGGGAACCATGAATGTCTGAGCCCAATTTCATGGCAATCCGTCCAACAGTTGGAGAGATATTTCAGCCCAAAGTGGTGAACCGACTGACATTACTGTACCATCCTCAGAGCCATGCCACTGTCTAAAAAGGAAGGTGGGTTCAAGGGTCAAGCAAGCTGCTAAGACAGCACTTAATGACTGACCTGTCCTCCCTCTCCAGCCCGTCAGTCAGCAGAGATGCCATTTTGCTCCAGTTGCGAGGCCAATTAACCTGCAATCAGCAGCTAAAGTGTTTTTGCAGAGGCCAATCACAGCGAGTTAATGGCTGAAACACCACTTTTTATGTCAAAATGAGTGCCATTAGAAGGAAATGAGCGGCCAAGTCTGTCGGGCAGCCAAGGGTTTAACTCGTGGGTTGGCCACCATGAGGCTCATGGGACACATTTAGTCGACTCCACACAAATTTCGATTTTGTAAGTCTTCCAAAAAAGTATATCATTAGTAACAGTAGTTATAGTTTCAGTCGTAATATTTAGAAAAATGTACCCGGTACATCAAATTAAAAATTAGATCTGCCACACAAGTGCAGTTCAGTTCAGGTTGTCACCTTATGAAGAACACTTTCTTGCGGTTAGTAGTCCCTTAAATTGTGTCATTCTTGCACCATTAGGCTGACAGAGCTGCTCTTTAACTGTTCCTTCAAATTAGATTTGTTTCTCTCCCTGCCAGAGGAGCAGTTTTTTGCATTTCTTCTTCTCTATTCAGCTGTAGAGAGACAGAACTCTCTGAGGAGCCGGCGTGTGCTTGTTTAGAAGAGACGCTCCTGAACACTGATGTGTGTGGTGTCGGACTGCAGTTCAAACCTTCCGGTTTAGTGTGTGCTTTACACTTGGCAGGACAACAGAGAACAAGTCATGCGAGAGTGCAGCCAGTTCCTCCCTACTCATTAGAATAATCACGACTGCCCGTTTCAGTGTGTGCGAACACCCACTGCTAGACAGACGTGGGGTGTATTAATAACATTATTCCCAAGCCATTTTAACAGGAATTTGAGAATTTTTGCAGCCTGTCTATGTTTACCACAAACAGACACAAACAATGACAATACAGACAGCTAACAACACACACCACCTTGTATGACAGCTACAAACTTCAGAGTAAGAATGATTTCAAGCACCTTCCTTTGCTTCTTATTGCCTTCAGACCCTTCATTCTTCCTCTTTATGTACCTTAATGTAATAATTGCAAATCTTTCTTTGTAGAAATAGTTCTACATCTTAGGAAATACACGTATTACTTTTCTTGCAGAGAGTTGGATGAGAAGATCGATACGACTAGCGTGTCTTTAAAGTAAATATGTAGTTGAAGCCAACAGCCAACAGTTAGCTTAGCTTAGCACAAAGACAGAGGGAAACGGCCTGCCTGCCTCACTAATTAACACGTTATATCTTGTTTGTTTAATCTGTACAAAACTCAAAGTGTAAAAAGAACATTATTACTATTATTTTGTGGCCGGGATTAGTACATTTTTGGATTCTTCCAAAGTATACTGAAAAACATGTATCCACTTTCTGTATCAGCTTCAAATCACTGCTGCACACGAACGTGAACTTGGGTAATTTGTGTGTGTTTTGACTGCGGTGTTTGTACCTCACTGATGATGCCCACGGCACCATGGATTTTGGCCACGTGACCCAAGAGAGCAGGGCATTGTTGTCCCACAATCCTCAGCGTTGGCAGAAAGCTGACCAGTGAAGAAGGGCTGGCCTGTGACACGTCCACGAGCGCGCCCAGTAGGGCCTCAGTTAGGGATTGGTCTTCTAGGTAACTGACGAGTGTGGGCACCTGAGGGCTCAACATCTGTTCGGGTGAGGAGAAACAAAGTTGGGGAGGGAAGAAAGCATTATTCATTGCTTTTGATTATAGCCTTAATCAGCGTTTTTTGCACCATAACTCAATACCAAACAGAAGTTCAATGGGCCTTTAATGAAGGCTTGAGGTGAGAGGAGTAACCTTAGATAGGGATGAACATACTGGTGAGTAATAGCAAACAAAAAGTTTGACCGCCGGACTGTCTGTCTACAAAGTTTGTGAATGGCCAGTTCCTCCCTACTCATTGGAATAATCGCTACTGCCTGGAATGCACTAGACAGGACCAGATGCTCACCATTTCCGGGCCCTCCTTCTGCTACTTTATGAGACACTCGTTCTGAATAATCATATTAATATCAAACACCTATCTGTACTCCAGGGAGAAGATGCTTGACTCCATAAAATAAAAGTTATGTGATTTCCCACATTAATGTCATGGTTCATTGTTTCAATCACTTCCTGTAAGTGAATATTAGTATGCAGACGATTTGGTAACTTTTGAGATGAATGAAGTTACAGTCATGACCACATTTTTTTTAGTATTTCTGTGTGGTGGGTGGAGATTAGAATAACTCCAGATGGCTGGTTTGGTTTTGTGAGGAATGACATGAGACTACGTTTTACCACCATGTGCTCTGTTGGCTGGTATGTGGTACTTTCCCCTCATGCTGACCACCAGCAGCTCTGTTCCGATAGAGAAATGTGCACTCCACATGCACTGCTCCATTTCACCACTTCTAACTATGTTCCAGTGGCTTTTTCTATATTTCGACACAAGCTCAGTACAGGGTATTGCAAAGTTGAATAGTACAAATTCTGATTAACCTTGACTCATGGGCATAAATATTACACAAAAGCCATACACGTACATCATTGTAAGCCAGTTGGATGGTGCTATATTTTCAAATATCCCCACAGTCTTATGTATTGTAACTACCTCATTATCATTTTATATGAGTATCTAATAAAGCTGGAAGGGTACATGTTTTAGATGTTACTAGGTTTCTTGAAACGGTTGGTCCAAAGCTGATGAAGATAGTGCCAACAAAAGTTTTTTTTAAATATGACGAAATATAATTCATATTTCGATCAGTGACAGTGAAATAAGTGAGGTAATTTACATGGGCCTATGCTGTAATAAAAAGATAACATAGTAGTATGTTATATATCAATATAGTTTGATTTGCCCACAGTGCGTTGTGCTTTATTCTTTAATCAAACTACACAACAAACAACACAAACACTCACCAGTGGATGTTGCTCGGCAACAATTTGAATGAGTCTGATTAGGTGTTGTTGCTCTGGGGACTCCAGCTGTGACATCATCGCAGTGAGGTTGCCTAGGTGACAGTGGATGGTATCTGGTTGCCTGGGGTAGACCGAGGGCAACACTCGTAACAGCATGTGGTTACCTGAGAGGGGGGGGGGGGGGGGGGGG